GGTTCTTGTTCCAGACCTTCAGATGATACCTTTTTAACAGGGTATGCAGTGGTTCAGTTACATGATATTGTTCAACAAGCACTACCCCTCCTTACAAGTCAGCACAAGCGGCAGAGCTGATAGCTTTAACCAGAGCTTTCTATGGCTTCTGGTGAACCGTAACACTCCTCAATTCTCTCCCATATCATACTCAGTCCTCTACTTGGGAAGTTAACATTGATGTCTCTGATTCTTCTTGCATATTCTGCTGACTCATTCCCCAGCCATTTGACTAAGAGATCAGCCTCCTCACTTGCAGATAGATCTAGATCTTTTATTGCATTTGTAAAGGACGATCGCCATGCTCTATAGCCTTCAGGTCGGTCATTAAACCTTGTGAGTCCTTTTGTCAATAGCTCACGGTGTGCAAAGAACTTGAGGAAATCCAACATACCTTCATCTTTGTGTGAGTAGTCTGGAGGTGTTCTGTTGTGCGGAGGACTTGGTGGGTATTTGTGGTCATCAGAAATGCTGTCACTCTGATTTCTACCCCATGACCCTTCCACTCTAAAGTGGGCAACTGTATCATAGCGGTTTGATAGCTTGGATGCAGGTTTCACTGAAGGCTCACCCAGTATGGGATTATTTTCTGGCTTGATGTAGGGTGTATGGACTGCAGGAGCTGACCCTGCTCTTGGAGCTGAATGCGGGCAGTCATTTGGCTTGACATGTTGCAGCACATAGTCTGTAGTACGCTGCAAATTGTCAGGATCAGGTTTAATGTCAAGTATGTTGCTGAGTCTCTCACTGGTGGGGTTTGCAAGTTCTTCTAAGATGTCTGCCTCAGCTACTGCTGCCGCTGCTTCCTTCTCTGCAGCCAGTTTCTCTAACACAGCTTCTATGCGTAACTTCTCTAGTTTCATTTGCATCTCTCTTTCGGCAAAGGCAGCCTTTACCTTTACAGCTTCTGCTTTTGCGCAAGCAATAGCGACCATGTCACTGCTCAGTGACCTCCTTGAGCTCCTGGAGCTACCTGAGACTAGGGACCTTCTCTATAATGGCTCTGACTTTTTTTATGACATGATGTCTTGCAATGTGGAAAATTCACTCTTCAAAAGAATAGAGGACTTCCCTAAGATTCCTAACAAAGGCTTCCAGAAGCTGAGAGAGTTAAGCGACCTGATGTCAGAGCTCCAAGTAGCCAAGGAAGAGGAAGATTTGCTAGGCCTTGCCCTTCTAGATACATCCCAAGGTGTTAATCATATCGTGCAAAAACTATCTTACAGCCTTCAAGAAATGTGGGTTACACGAGTCTCCAACTACAAGCAAAAACATAGCGTCCCTTTCCCACCATTCTCTTTCTTTACAGACTTTATTCGCCAACAAACAAAGAAAAATTAAAAATGATCCCAGTTTTGACTTCTCGTCATATGACTTTACTTACCCTAGGACAGGTAAGCCTATTTCAACTCGCAACTTCAAAGACATATCTGTTGCAGTACACAAAACAAGCGTATCACCAACAGAGAATCCAAGCAGAGAGTGTCCCCTTCACAAGAAGCCCCACCCATTGCTAAAGTGCAGAGGTTTCAGAGAAAAAACTCTCCAAGATCACAAAACCTTCCTCAAAGAAATCAGAATTTGCTACAAGTGCTGTGCAACAACTTCACACCTTGCAAAGAACTGCAAAGAAGGCATAAACTGTTTAGAGTGTGACAGCACAGAGCACAATACGGCTCTGCATTCAGGGCCAGCGCCATGGACTCTTACTCCCTCAAACCAGGCTGAAGAGCATTGAGACACAGTACCTCCTGTAGTGACACCCCAGTGGACCCAAGTCTGCGGAGAAGGTCTCTTTGGCAAATCCTGCTCCAAGATTTGTCTTGTCACAGTTTACCCCATAGGTCACAGACAAAAAGCAGTAAAGCTGTACGCAATCTTGGACGATCAAAGCAACAGATCACTTGCTAGCTCAGCCTTCTTCGACACCTTTAAAATCAAGGGAGCCAGCTCTTCCTACTCACTTCAGACTTGTACAGGCATGAGTGAAGAAACTGGGAGAAGGGCCAATGGTTACCAGTTTGAATCTATGGATGGCCAAACATCCCTGCCTTTACCAACCTTAATCGAGTGCAATCAGTTCCCAACTGAAAGAGGGGAGATCCCTACACCTGAGGCGGCATTTCACCACAGACATCTTAAGAGCACAGCACATCTCATCCCTAAGCTTGATCCCCAGGCTCAGATAGCGCTCCTGCTTGGGAGAGATATCATCAGAGTTCACAAGGTGAGAAAACAAATCAATGGCCCCCACAACTCCCCTTACCCTCAGAAGCTGGACCTAGGATGGGTCATTATAGGCAATGTTTGCCTAGGAAATTCTCACAAACCAACCAGCGTGAACTCTCTTTTTACAAAGACATTGGAGAATGGGCATCCATCCCTTTTTCAACCTTGCCCAACAGATTCCTTGTAAAAGAGAAACCTGCAAGTGTCATACATTCCAACCTTTACACTAGCAATTCTCCCTGCGATGAAGACAATGATCAGTTAGGATGCTCAGTTTTTCAAAAGACAAAAGAAGATCACAAAATTGCCCCATCTATTGAGGATCAGATCTTCTTGAAGATAATGGAACAAGGATTCTACAAAAATGATGCAAACAGCTGGGTAGCTCCCCTGCCTTTCAAAACACAGAGACCGTGCCTTCCTAACAACAGACTACAGGCTCTAAAACGCTTTTCTGCTCTCAGGCACAATTTTCAAAGGAAACCAGAAATGAAAGAGCATTTCTTCTTGTTCATGAGCAAGATGTTTGAAGACAGCCATGCAGAGGTGGCCCAACCTTTGAAAGAGAAAGAAGAGTTCTGGTACCTGCCTATTTTTGGTGTTTACCACCCCAAGAAGCCAGGGAAAATCCGAGTAGTATTTGACTCCAGCTCCCAGTATGAAGGAATCTCTCTCTCAACTACGTCCTCTTAAAAGGACCAGATCTCAACAACACACTTCTTGGTGTTCTCATCAGATTCCGCAAGGAAGCCATCGCCATAGTTGCTGACATACAACAAATGTTTCACAGTTTTCAAGTCAAGGAAGAACACAGGAACTTTCTGAAATTCTTCTGGTTTAGGGATAGCAACCCCACTGAAGACATTACAGAATACTGCATGAAAGTGCACGTTTTTGGCAACAGCCCATCGCCTGCTGTTGCAATCTATGGACTTAAGCTATCTGCCCAGGACAGTGAAAAAGACTATGGGCAAGATCAGTTCATTGAGAGAGACTTTTATGTAAATGATGGCCTGAAGTCACTTCCATCGCCTAAGGCTGCAATCAGTCTACTTATGATGACCCAAAGCACTCTTGCCTGTTCAAACCTTAGGTTGCATAAGATAGCTTCAAACAGCAAGGCTGTTATGGAGACCTTCCCTTCTCAAGATCACGCCAGTGATCTGAAAGACCTAGACCTGGCAACAGACTTGCTACCCATGCAGCGCAGCCTAAGACTCAGTCGGGATCTCAAGTCTGACACCCTCACCTTCCAGGTCGACCAGGAGCCAAAGCCATTCACAAAGCGAGGTGTTTTGTCTACCATAAACAGTCTGTATGACCCACTTGGGTTTGTAGCACCTGTGACCGTCCAAGACCGTAAAGTACTGTTGAAAGTCAGAGGGCACATTTCCAACGCAAGATTCAAAAGTGTTGAAAGCAATCCAGTAGCAATCCCAAGTCACCATATTGCTTCACTCCTTGTGGAACATTACAATGTACAGATCAAACACCAAGGGCATTTGTTAACAGAGGGAGCCTTATGTGCAGCTGGACTCTGGATAATGGGAGCCAAGAGACTCATGAGTACAATTATTTTCAAATGAATTACTTGCTGTCAGGGCTCCCGGGTATGACCAGAGGTGTGTGACTGACGCAGGGAAACGCAGACTTCAGATATGTTATAAACAATGTCATTTATTAACACTAACCATACAAACATAAACGCAGTGCAATACTAAAACATAACACAGTGCAAACAAACCAACCAACCACCCACAGATAACAGTACATACAATGCAAGCGTCGTCAGGCAGGCCGGGTCAATATCAGTCGGGCAGGTAGGTACAGGGGGAGCAAGCGGAGAATGGTCGGGGTCACAGGCCAGGTTCAGCAGGTAGCGGGCAGCGTGGTACAGAGGGTCAGGCAGAGGAGAATGGTCAGACAAGCCAGGGATCAGAGCAGGGTCAGCAGAGAATCAGACAGGAACAGAGAGCAGGAACAGGATACAGGGCCCAAGAGAAACACAACACCAAGCAGAGTCTCCAGGTCTGAATGTCCCTTAAATACACCAGTATAATTAGTTCCAGGTGTTTGACTGGCTGCAAGGTTGAGTCTCTGATTGCTGGGAGCACCCGCTGGCCAGCCCTGGTACTGCAGCTCATGAGGCAGCTGAGTCCCACTATTGCTGGCCAGTCCATTCCTGACAGTACCCCCCCCTCAAGGAGCGGCCTCAGGACGCTCCAAACAGTCCTAGCTGGGCAAAATGTTCCACCGCCCGGGTCTGGTAACTGGCGGGATATCAAAGACTGACACACTGGGCAGGACTCCGGGCAGCGGCACACCGGGCAGAGGCACACTGGGCAGAGGCACATCGGGCAGGACTCCGGGCAGCGGCACATCGGGCTGGACTCCGGGCAGAGGCACATCGGGCTGGACTCCGGGCAGAGGCACATCGGGCAGGACTCCGGGCAGCGGAACATCGGGCTGGACTCCGGGCAGAGGCACATCGGGCTGGACTCCGGGCAGAGGCACATCGGGCTGGACTCCGGGCAGAGGCACATCGGGCGGGACTCCGGGCAGAGGCACATCGGGCTGGACTCCGGGCAGAGGCACATCGGGCAGAGGCACACCGGGCTGGGCAGCAGGCACCGGGCCCCCAGGCGGGGCAGCAGGCACCGGGCCCCCGGGCGGAGCAGCAGGCAGCTGCCCCCGGGCAGAGCAGCAGGCACCGGGCCCCCGGGCGGGGCAACAGGCATCGGGCCCCCGGGCGGGGCAACAGGCATCGGGTCCCCAGGCGGGGCAACCGGCATCGGGCCCCCAGGCGGAGCGGCGGGCGCCGGGCCCCCAGGAGGGGCGACAGGCATCGGGCCCCCAGGCGGGGAGACAGGCATCGGGCCCCCAGGCGGGGCGACAGGCATTGGGCCCCCAGACGGGGCGGCGGGCGCCAGGCCCCCAGGAGGGGCGACAGGCATTGGGCCCCCAGGCGGGGCGACAGGCATCGGGCCCCCAGGCGGGGCAACAGGCATCGGGCCCCCAGGCGGGGTGACCGGCATCGGGTCCCCAGGCGGGGCAACAGGCATCGGACCCCCAGATGGAGCGACAGGTCTCGGGCCCTCAGGCGGAGCGGCGGGCGCCGGACCCCCAGGTGGAGCGACAAATCTCGGGCCCTCAGGCGGAGCGGCGGGCGCCGGACCCCCAGGTGGAGCGACAGGTCTCGGGCCCTCAGGCGGAGCGGCGGGCGCCGGACCCCCAGGTGGAGCGACAGGTCTCGGGCCCTCAGGCGAGGAGCGGCGGGCGCCGGGCCCCCAGGCGGAGCGACAGGTCTCGGGCCCCCAGGCGGAGCGACAGGTCCCGGGCCCTCAGGCGGAGCGGCGGGCGCCGGACCCCCAGGCGGAGCGACAGGTCTCGGGCCCTCTCATCTTTTTAAGTGGGAGAACTTGCACAATTGGTGGCTGACTACATACTTTTTTGCCCCACTGTATTTCTCTCACCTTTGGGGATTTGCTTTATACATCATGCATTATTAATATTTTTGAGAATAATTGTATTTTATGTTATTATATAGTGGAACACTTATTATAGTATATGGGAGATTTTTATGCTGACCAGGAGAAAAGTAAAAGTGCATCCAGAGGAAGCCCATATGGTGTGCACATGCCCAATATGTCTGGGAGTCTAAGGACAAACAGGACACTAGCATTTCCAGTGGCCTTTCCCACTCCATGACCGCAACATTATGTCAGCATAAAAGAATTTGCTTACAAAAGGGAAGGGGACTTCATGGGGTCCAGAAAACCTTGAGCCACTGAAACAAAGTGGGTTATTACAGCAGGCATTATATACACAGTAGAAGCTGCATATCAGAAACATAAAGTGGACAGCTTACCTTTAAAGAATAACTCTACTTTTTTTGAGAAAAAAAACGTTGCCCCCCCCAGTGATCTGTGTACAGTACATTGCAGAGATTTTATCAAACTTTGTTGTAGATTCTTACAATTTGTTATTCTGAAGAAATAGCGGTTTGTCTATGTTCATGTACTAAACTAATGAGAATGGGAGTGATTTTTAATACTCAATCAGCTGCTGCACTTGCAGGGTTCTAATGAGGAAAGTGGCATGGTATGCATTTAGACATGATTTACCATTGGGGGTATCTCACCATAAATTACATTTTTGTTGCAGAAGATACCCAAAATCTGTATCCTAGTGCAGACTTCTGGGAAAACCAGTGAGCTAATCACACAAGCAAGAAATGACATTTCCAGGGGATATTCTGTACACCATCTATGTATAGGACACCTCCAGGTTGCCATATTGCACTGCATTTTTACATTACCAATTTTATATACTATATTTCATTTTGTTATTTTTTCCCAATGAAATTGGAGTTACCCTTAAAACTTGTGAGGTTCTCAGTAGACCTAGTGTTAACTGTTTTAGAAATAACTTTTACTCATGATCTACAACATTATACTTTCAATGGTCAGCTCAATTCTTCAACTAATAACATTCTTTAAATATTTGCCAAAAAATATCTTTAAAAGTATAAATCATTTTTACCGTTTTTATTCTTGGACTAGGTAATGTCTAATATTTATGTTCCCAGCAAAAAATTATCTGGTGTCTGTGAGCGAAGGAGATTTCAGCTTAAAATTCACATAACACCAAGGTCTCCCGGGGCACTTTAGCTGGCTGCCATTAACAAAAATGTGATTGACTTTTCAGAGCATATTCACATTTTACCCAATGCTTCTGGAAACCTGATCATTTGATGGAACAAAAGAATGACAAATAGAAGTGCAAGTGCATCTGAAAATAAATCCACTGCAACAAAACATCCGTTAGACACCTTTCCCCAATAAATATATTTAACGCTCGGTTGACCCAATTGTCTTTTCCAGCATGCATGTTTTAAAGGCTTAAAATAGATGCCAGATTTTGCTTTGAAGAAAGATACTGAGGCAATTACTAAATTGCAATTTTTAGGCTATAAAACATACTCTGTGCAGATGGCAAGACATGCTTATTCTACATGAACAGATCATATTGGTGTAATAAATTACCAGAGCAAATCGTGCAACAGTCACAGAGCCTTTTGCAATTACTTGAACGATTACAATACCAGAGGAATCTTAAAAGCATTGACCTTTCCATACAATAATGTTATCATTATGTCTGAGAACTATTTCACCAGTTTAATTCTTGTGTGTAGTAGAGAATTTAGCATAAATTACAGAGTGTCTACAATGTAGAAAATATGACCAGAATAACAGTGAAAGAAAAATAGCCTAAAAATGTGAAATATATTTCCCCTCCTAAATTGTGCCTAATTTATGAACTATAAAGAAAAAGAGCCTGCGTGGAGACTGGTTAAAGCCAGTTTTATTGTCACCTTGTATGGGTATCAAATTGGGCCTCAAGCATTGCAGTTATGAGACTCTATACAATAAATAATTTGTCATATTAGCCAAAGTAGAATTAGAGACACTTCATCACAACACTAACAGCTGCATGCTAAAAGAGACAGTTTATTTTGCATATTGATTCTAGCAGAAGGCTTACAGGTGTAGTGACTAATACAATTGGGGAGGTAGACAATCCCTGAGGTCTTCAGCATATTTAAAAAAGCCTTCTCATTGGCTTGTGCATAGGGTATGATAAGGGGGTACCACCAATCCTCCTGTTTGGAGCTTGGGCCCCATCAATTTAATGGGGGGGGGGGGCAGCCTGGCAGCTTCATGTTACATAAGCCATGCCTCCAAGGTATACCTCTACAAGTGCAAACAATGTGCAGCCATCTATGATACAAAGCTACAGCACTTATCTAACAATGTTTTTGTGATGATTATTATGACGATGATCTCACAGTACTGGTCCTGTACTGTGTGATCATGTTGATGATCACATAAGCACAGTGAGACACTTCCCTTTAAACCTTGCTTACACTTGTGCCTGGAGGCAGCTCTGCCATTCATTTTTACCGACCCCCAACTGCCCCCCCTTATGCTACATTCAGTGGTGGGGGAGGGAGCACATATGGCACATATGCCATTAGCCATGGTGTTTTTTGTGTAAAAAATGTATTCCAGCTGTCATGTTCAGCAGACAGTGCCACCCACAGAGCAAGACCCATTAAGCTGCTAGTGCGGGATTTTTAAGGCCTCCTTCAATCAGTCATTGAATAACAGCTGCATGCAAATAGCGGTGGCCACGCAGCCTGTGTAAGGTATTGACAGGCTGACAGTGGTCATCATTCACCTGTTCTGTAGCTGCATAGCTGCACACCAAGCAGGTCCCTGCAGTTAGGGACAGGCAGTCAGATGCATCCAGGCATTGGTCACCCTCTCTATCCACAGGTACCCTCTTGGTGTACGACTTAATGCAAACAATCAATACTTTACACAGTCTGAGCAGTTTCTGCTATTTGCAAGCTTCTTTCAGCCACTAGAATCTGCTGATTCTTGTACCTGGAATCTGGTGGATGCAGCTGAACAGAAAAAAAGTGGCTAAAACAGGCAATACAACACCTCTTCACAGCCTGTCAAATCCTCTCTGAAGAGCAATCCAGATGCGACCCGGGGGGCCCTGTCAGGTAAACTGTTTGGGGCCCAATGATTTCTTACAGTGACTCTGGTGCAAATCACAGGTGCTCTGGCTGTATGGCTGCAGACAGTATTTGCACTGTACACCAATCAGCCATAACATTATGACCATATGATAGGTAAATTGAATATATAGAGGCAAGGGTGCTTTCAGACGAATGTGGTGTGTTTTCTAATTCATTTTAAAAAATAAACAAAACAAACATTAATTAGCCAGTGATTGTGTCAAAGACAGCCTAAACATATTTCAGCAACGTGCAAAGAAAAAATGCACAGGAGATAGTTAAAGCTGACAGGTGAAAATGTTACTTTAATAATGCTTGTTATATTTGTTACCTGTGTTTCATCCTAAAGAAACAATTTACAGACAATTAAGGTTGTGAACTCTATGTGCCTTACAAAATGGGACTTTAATTTGATCCCAGGCACCAGAGGATACAATGACACTTTATGTATTTCTAAGACAACCAGCCTGTTGAATTGTTGCCAAAGGTACATGAAGTGATAACTTTATTGACAAGTTGTTTGGCAGAGTGACTAATTTCTTTAATAACGAGGGGAATTAAGGATGAGAGAAAAAAAGATTCTGTATCCACACTGAGTCACAAATCATTAGCAGAATAGGAGACAGTAAAGGCTGTAGCTTCCCTGCTGGCAGTTTGTCAGGCAACAGTCAAAATTCAATGGCAGAAGCCATTAATAGAAAAAAGTATAGAGAAAAAAACAGATTCAAACAGCAATGCAAGCATAACTCCTTAAAACACTAGTTAACACTAGTCATGTTTTCTTTCTTCCTTCCCATTCATCATTACAAAATTATACTATATATATATGTTCTATTCTTTATTATAGATTTAGTATAGAGAAAATAATTTTTTTTATATTCTACAGTCTAACTTTGACTTGTATCTGCTTGTTCTGGGTTTCTGAGCTAAAAACACTCAGCTAAACGTCTAACTAGATTTGATCTCTGATGTTGGTAAATGGGTCGTGTGGATGATAATGGTTGGATGAAACTAGAACTGCTTATTTATTTTTGTATTTTTTTCAAAATGGAAACCCTATTAACCACTTGCCATCCTGAGGATTTACCCCCCTTAATGACCAGGCCTCTTTTTGCTATTCGGCGCTGCACTATTACAACTGATAATTGCGTGGTCATGCAATGCTGTACCCAAACGAAATTACATCTTTTTTTTCACACAAATAGAGCTTTATTTTGGTGGTATTTTATCACCTGTGCTCTTTTTATTGTTCACGCTATAAACAACAAAAGACCAAAAATTTTGAAGAAGAAAAAATATTTATTATGTTCGGCTATAAAAAATACATAGTAAACTCAAAGCTAGTCATAAATTTAGGCCAACATGTATTCTGCTACATGTTTTTGGTAAAAAAAATTCAAATAAGTGTATATTGATTGCTTTGTGTATAAGTTATAGCGTCTACAAACTATGGTATAGATACTGCAATTTACGCCATTTTTTTGCTATACAGCGCTGCACTAGTTTAACTGACAATTGCACGGTCATGCAATACGGTACATAAATTAAATTTATATAAATGAAATTTATGTCCCTTTTTTACACAAATATAGCTCTCTTTTGGTGGTATTTGATCACCGGTGTGCTTTTTATTTTTGGCACTATAAACAAAAAAGATTTTGAAAAAAAAATAAAAAAAACAATATTTTCTCATTTCTGTCAAAAAAAATATCCAAAAAACTAAAATTTTGTCATAAATTTAGCCCAACATGTATTCTGCTATATGTTTTTGGTAAAAAATCCCAATAAGTGTATATTGATTGCTTT